TTTTTAGAGCCTGATCTACATCGTAAACGCAATATGAAGTTACATTTAAAATCTTTTTTTCCAGTAATCATGAAGTCTCAAAGGCACCCTACAGCGATATTGACCAATACTGAAAAGTCTCAAACAAAATTCAGTTTTCAAACTTTAGTTTCATGTTTTTATATTTATTCAGTGTCAGAGGAAGACATAAAACAACTCAAGAAGAGACAGAGATAACTCTGTAATGGTTATTAGCAAGTTACAACCCTGTCTCCTAAAAATTACGTTCTCACAGAACTAAATTGCATTCTCAATTACGTTTAGCAAGAAACGTATTTTCTCCCACGTTACGTTTCTTATGAACGTATCTTAAAGACATTTATTTTCTACATATCTTTGCCATTTATTGTCTTGCTTATAATAATGATAATAGTCATTTATAAATATCATTTTAGAGCACACATTTTAAATCAGTAGGTGAGGCTGTAATTTCACCAGCTGTTACTCTCATGAGCGAGGCAGAAAATAATAGTTTTAACATGCCAAAAAGCTGCTGTGTCGTTTATTGCACCTCAAACATTAAAACAAATCCAGAGTTACGTGTTTCTGTACTTCTTCTAAGAAGAAAGGACAGTAACAGAAGATCTCTGTGACGCCAGATGTGGTGTTAATGCGATATGATATCCGAAAAAAGATTCAGTTTAGGATGGCCGAAGACACTACACTACCCATAATCCCCAGCTATCATTTGGGACTACAGTCCCGTTGACAAACCCCGTGATTAATCTTCAAGCTCTGGGATTGGATGTTGCAGTGGCAGTGCGCCAAGGTTACGCCGAGCGTCAAGCTCTTTGAAATGGAACGAAACCACGGCAGACTATTCAAAACTGGACTTGAATGCCTCCCGAGAACTACACATGCTGGCTATTGTGTTTCGCAACATGTTCTCTATGGCACGTCTCTACTGGGAATTGTAGTTTTAAAAGACGTTTTTGTTTTTCCCAAAATTAGAAGTTGACAGTATTAAACTGTGTACAGCTCTGGAGGTTTAGGCGATAGGAAACACATTGGTGTGTACAAATTTAAAACATGTCATTACTAAATGGGTGAAAATCGCTTGTATCCATAATGGGCAGCATTAACATATATCCACATTTAATGGTGGAGGTACACACATATTGATAGATGTCTTGTAATGCACTGTTGAGGAACCTGTGACCCACGTTTTTCATTCATTGCATAACTACACCATAGTTGTGTATATGATATGTTAATAAACCTTAGAAAATCTTGAAATCTTGAAAGGGATGTGCAAAATAGTCATTATATATATCTTTAATGAACTATTAGTAGAAAATAACGAGTAATGAATATACTTGATAGGGATCCTATTAATATCTAATAATACAATTCAATAACATGCTTTAACCACTAGGTGTCCCTTTATATCAGCTGTGCACCGTTATGGTGTAAATACAGCCTATCTAGCAATTAGATCAAATATAAAAGTCAGCCGAATTAGTGTTGATACTGCAAGGAGACGTATTGTGTGAAAAGAAATGCAAGATGCATTGCTGATATATTTATGATCCACGTGACGTATTCAGTTTTGGCAGCAGTTCTTCCTGTTTGTCTAGAAGTCTTCTCATCAGGGCTCTATAAATAGAGAACTACGGCAGATATTTAATGCAGCCGAACCATGTATTACAATGCCGTTATGTGATGACTTCCAAAGAGAAAAGCAAGAACACTCGGAATAAAGTTTTTTTTTTAAAAATGTTTTCGGACATCATATCGCATTAACACCATATCCCAACGTGCATTGCGGCAAAAACATCCAATCAACGAGCTTCAAGCTAAGGATCTTGGGTAATCAGTTCAGTGGGTTTGTGGTGTGTATCGCTCGAAATGTCCCTTATAGGCCTACGTCTGTTTCGAATAAACGAATAAATCAAAACAAGGATAATTGTGTGTTATTGTTGAGCATATAACAGTGTGTTATTTAGAAAAGAATAACAAATTAGAAGGAAAAAAAGATTTAAAAAATACAGATTTCAGTATTTTGAGGCTCTGAGCCCCATTTATTTTCCTCACAGACGGCAAAAAAAAGTCCGACATTATACGATTTTAAATAAAAACAAATAAATAAAAAGATAAAGCACTGGCATGTAATTTACGTTAGAATAAATATAATGGTTTTGAATAATATATAATATATTCCGCACTTTTGGGGAAACCAACGCTGTAATTTCAACGGCGATCAAGCCTGAAGCCACATAGATCTTCTTTTACTGTCCTTTCTTCTTAGAGGAAGTACAGGAACACGTAACTCTGGATTTGTTTTAATGTTTGAGGTGCAATAAACGACACAGCAGCTTTTTGGCATGATAAAACTATTATTTTCTGCCTCGCTCATGAGAATAACAGCTGGCGAAATTACAGCCTCGCCTACTGATTTCAAATGTGTGCTCGAAAATGATATTTATAAATGATTATTATCATTATCATAAGCAGGACAATAAATGGCAAAGATATGTAGAATATAAATGTATTTAAGATATGTTCATAACGAACGTAACGTGGGAGAAAATAAGTTTCTAGCTAAACGTAATTGAGAATGCAGTTTAGTTCTGTGGGAACGTAATTTTTAGGAGACAGGGTTGCAAGTTAGCTAATTTAATGTTCAACCAATAGTTTGTTTTCTTGGAGAAATACAATTATTTCTCTAACAGTCGGAAATAAAACAAATAACCACTAACTTTGATGATTAATTCCTTCACTGTCACTGTACATTGTTAATTAGATTATAAAACATATGAACAAGCCATAGCTGTGTGTTTACCTGATGAAGCTGGCAATGTAAATGTTAACAAATGTCGCCATGAGGTACTGGCAGTCGAACCGGTCCATAATGCCACCGTGACCCGGGATCGTGTTGGCAAAATCCTGGAAGAACAAACAACAGTACATGTGATCAGACTGCTGCTAAGAATATAATATACATGGAGCAAAGACAACAGACAATAAAAGGGATAGTTGGAGTGTTTTGAAGTAAACAAACGTGTCAGAAATATCTACTTTGATCTTGAAGGCTCTCTTGAAAGCCGCTGGTGAAGAATCCTCCGAAGGGTCCCATGATGGAGGCGAAGGAGGAGAGAGCGATGCTGTGGATCTGGAACGGATACAGACGCACCGTGGTCTGCGGAGACAAGGAACATGTGTCAGACTGAAGCAGAGACCAGAAGTTCAGTCAAACTAAACTAGTTACTAGTTATTTGGCTAAAATAGGACTTGCATCCCCAGGCTTTTAGTATCAAAATCAAACCTGGCTGAGAAAAATATGATGAGGTTGAAACGTATGATAAAAACCTGGTGTTAAACGGGATTTAGGTTCTGTTAATGTGTACTCTAGAAACAGCATTTAGATATATTTTAACTTTACTTAATGAGTAACACAGGATTAAAACTAAATAACATAGCTGATACAATTAAAGTGTTCGAAAGGTTGCGACACAAATACATTATTATATATATTACGGATCCCTCTTGTTTTTTGGCATACTGGATTTGCAATATAGTGATTTTATTGTTTCATAGTTACATTCATGTTTATATGACTTGTGATGCCAGAAAACAGGAAAGACAGATGAAGGTCAGGAGAGTCTTACCCATCCGGTGAAGGACTACAGGACGGAGGGCAGGGTGTAGTCCTGCAGCTGGAAAAGCTCAAACGGCTCGCAGTCCACCTGGAACCGGTTGGAGTCGTTGTTGAACTCCACCGGGCAGACGAAGTAACGCCAGCCGGACATCACGTAGGAGAGCTGGGGGAGAACAAGCTTCAAACACTATAACAGTTTATTTCTTGTTAATTTACAACTTTATTATGAGTTATTTCCCAGACTAATACACCCTTCTGCTGGCTTTTAACCGACATAGGCCCCAAAACACTGTGATATCATTATCTATGTGAACATAGAGCCTGGATTATGACCAAACATCACAGGATTTATGTGTCTTGTACGCTGAGTTGATTTTATCCGCTTCACAAATGTTGTCTTAGATGATTGCTTTCCCTTTGATTTAACAGGCACTGATTTTTCTGCTTGAATATTTCTCGCTGTGAAACACTTGAGCTGTGTTTATAAGTGTTTAAATCTGCAGTGTAACTTCCTGTCGTCTCATTAATAAATGTCAGACTTGCAGTGTGGTATAAAAGGCTAATTAAATCAATAAAATGCAGAGCGTTAAATGTGTGCAGCGGGCGACACCATCTGGTCACAACTCTAAATATTTTACCATGTTTATGTGCAAATGAAGAACTCTCACTGGTTCAGAACCTTTTTCCTTAACTGGGTCCCTTTTCTTTTCTGAATTTTGTTATGGGTATTTCACTCTATATCAAATATATAACAATAACAGTGCAGAACATCTCATACACTTCACTATGAATCCAGAACAATACAACTGCAGGAGTTTGGATACAGCGAGATGTTTGCATTCATTTAGAGCAGAATCTAGCAGAGTGGATCGTGCTGTTCATCCTATGTCATCTATATGTAAAGAAAAAGGTCTAAATATTTAAGATAAAGCTGTGAAACAATCTCAACAATTGGCAGCAAAAAAGTAAGGTTTTTTAATTGGAATAAAAGGATACATGTTGTGATAGGAAGTTCTAATATCTTAAGAGAAGAGCTTGAATATTACAAAATAAAAAATACAAACTATTTTGGCTCCTTCCTGTCTTTCTACTGGGTCTTTCTTGGCTTTGTACTGGCTATCTTCTAGCTCTATCCCTGATCATTTTCAGAACCTAAAGGCTCTATACGGGCTATCTTCTGGTTCTCCTCTGGATCCATCCACTATCTCTTGTCGATGTCCAGTGAACTACACTTTTGTTACTGGAGCAGGTAAAGCATACAACAGATACTTTCAGCATTATCGGAGCTCAAAGAAAAAGCTTGGATGAAACACAGCGGACTTCTAATCAATGAACACCCACAACTTAGAAGAAATAAAGTTGGGTTTTATGCATTCTAATATTGCAATGCAAACCCATGATGTAATGAAAGTAATTAAGAATAATTTAATCATTAAATGCTCATTTCAGTAGATTTAATCAAACAAAACATAAACATATTGGACGTGGTCTCAAGACTGTAACCTCTTCACATTCTGTTGAAATAGCCATATCTTACACATTGCTGTTTTGAATCATTACAATGTGGATAACAGTTGAACTGGATGATGTAACATTTATGTCATCTGCTGGAAATAAGACGTATCGCTCTGTTACCGTTGTTTGGACAACAAAAACAGAGTGAAGCTCTCATTTCATAAACAATCTTTGAGTAAAGACACCGTCCTGCAGAGAGCACACAATCCAACAGCACGTTTTTGGTCTAGCATCACTTTACAAAACGTTTGCATTAAGAAATCAGAAATCAGTCAAAGTGACACAGACACATTGGATTAACCTACGGATTAATTTCAGCATCATTTTAATGCCATTGAAGACCACTTTTGACCAGACTACCACACAGGTGAGCCATTTTGCCATTTTTGGCTAACTAGCTCCATATGTTCTGATGTGTGTTCTTGTCATTATCTCCGAGAATTCCTATACTTGAGTGATAATGAGGGCACCCATCGATTCTGTGTCCCCTCACGATGTGAAACGATGGGTTGAGATGTGCAGCAAAGATAAATAATAAGGTTTTATGAGTGAATATCGGTGTAGTCATCTGTTAGCATTTTTTGCTCGTTGCTAATTCAGAAGCTCAGGGTTAGCATTGTGGGGGTTTTTTTGAAAAAAAAATTAAAATGATCAGTTAGATGAGTTTCGTTCCGTTACATGGATATAAAACATTCATAGTTTATTAAATGAATATGCCCTCAGACACTGTTTTCTGCAAGATATTGCAGCAGGCCCCCGGAACCGGGGTCTCTCGGGCTTAACAGGTAACAAGACATAGTCGAGTCAAGGGGTCAAAGAAATGAACATTTGTGATTATTAGCGAATCGGTTGCAGGTGGGTGAAATCAGGCTTAGGGAGTAACGTATTACATGTAACGGCATTAGGTCATCAGGATACAAAATAGGAAAATGTATTCCCTTACAGTTACAGAAGCAAAAACAATCAGATAACAGGTACATTTATGTAAAACAGGGCTCATTAACAGGATAGCAATGATAAAAAACATTTAGAAATAAAGAACAATACATCAAATCATCCTATATCTCTATATGGAAACTTGGAGTCCTCAATCCAAAATAAAAATGGTTCATCAACAGTCAGTAGTTAACGTATCAGAAAATCAGTATAACAAAAACATTAAACATATTGTCCACTTATGTTTATAAAGATGGAGTTCATTTAAGTCGCATAGGAATATTGTGCAACATTGTTAATCCAGTCAGACAGATTTTTCTCATGTGTGAACTGTCATAAGACTTATTCATTGTCCTCCATCAGCTTCTGTTTCCATGTGTTCAGCTGAGCTGATGATTGGAGGCTCTGCCTCTGTTATCCTCAGTTTGAATTTCATTAAGCTGTGAGGACTGACGACCAACACACTTGTGTCTTTTGAAATCATTACGCCATTTAAATATTTTGTCACAAACATTGCAGCTGTATATTTACTCTCCTGTATGGACTCTCATGTGCGTCTTTAAATGTCCACTCTGTGAAAAAGCTTTCTTACAGACTGAGCAGCTGTGTGGTTTCTCTCCTGTGTGGATTCTCATGTGTTTCTTTAAGTCTATATTCCGTGAAAAAGCTTTCTTACAGACTGAGCAGCTGTGTGGTTTCTCTCCTGTGTGGATTCTCATGTGTCTCTTTAAGTCTATATTCTGTGAAAAAGCTTTCTTACAGACTGAGCAGCTGTGTGGTTTCTCTCCTGTGTGGATTCTCATGTGTGTGTTTAAATGTTCAATCCGTGAAAAAGCTTTCTCACAAACTTTGCAGCTAAATGGTTTGTCTCCTGTGTGGCTTATCATGTGTGCCTTTAAATGTCCACTCCGTAAAAAAGCTTTCTCACAAACTGAGCAGCTAAATGGTTTCTCTCCTGTGTGGATTCTCATGTGTGCCTTTAAATGTCCACTCCGTAAAAAAGCTTTCTCACAAACTGAGCAGCTAAATGGTTTCTCTCCTGTGTGGATTCTCATGTGTGCCTTTAACTGTTCACTCCGTAAAAAAGCTTTCTCACAAACTGAGCAGCTAAATGGTTTCTCTCCTGTGTGGATTCTCATGTGTGCCTTTACATTCCTACTCTGTGAAAAAGCTTTCTTATAGACTGAGCAGCTGAATGGTTTATTTTCAATACTACGGCTTGAATCACTGACAGATTCATGTTTATTTTTCAGTGAGTTTGTGCCTGACGCAGGTTCTCTGGTCTTTTTCCAATCAGCACTGTCTTCAGTGTCAGGTTCAGAAGAGTCTCCAGTGTCGTCCTCAGTCTTTGGTTGTAAACTACTCTCTGGATCTGAGTTCCTGGCTGGTTCTGGTCCTCGACAGTCATCTCCATCAGCTTCTGTTTCCATGTGTTCAGTTTGTCTTTGATGAGGCTGTGAGGACTGAGGTTTCTCTTTATCATCTTCACTCTTCACAGAGTCAGGAGTGAAAGTGGACTTGGTGATATCAGCCTCCTCCAGCTCCTGAAGCTGATATCCCTCCTGACTGATCCTGAGTTCCTCCTGTTCCTGCTTAATGTGTGGGAGGGGATCTGGGTCCTCCTGGTCCAGACTGGTGCTCCACTCCTGCTGGTCAGGGAGAACCTCTTCTTTAACCTCCACCAGCAGCTGGACATCTGCAGAAAACAGGAAACGCAGTCAGAAAAAAACTGTTAAGTGTTAGCATTTAAAAATGTAATCACCATTACAATGGGAGATATTTTGAGGCCCTAATTAATGCTTTTGTTTTTACACTTTCATATTATCTTTCTTAGTCCCACCTATTGTATATTTTTGTTGTCTCAATTCACCTTATGTAGCCCAACGCCTTTCCACTTCGAGTTACAAATGAAAAAGGGGGTTTTCTTCTGGTTTAGCACTAGCTGCAATGTAAACAATGAATTGTATTTGGCATCGTTAACAGATACACTACGCCTATAGAATGGTAATACTCTATTACAAATAAAAATCCTGCATTCAAACCTTATTTAAGTAAAAGTACGCAGGTATTAACAGAAATTAACACCTTCTTATGTAAAATAAATTATACTGCTATAACATTTTCCCTGTCAGGGTTTTATTTATGATGTTTCTTGATTATTTGCCAAAAGTATTAAAGTAAAAACAAAAAGTTATAATATAATTAAGAATATAATTAAAAAAAGACAATTTACAAAATACACATCCTGTAACAGTTTTTAGAGTTTAGCAGCCAGGTATATATTGCACAGTTATTAACGGCATAAATATATATTGCACATATAGCACATAGTTGGTTGGTATTCAACCTGTTAACCTGTTAGGCCCCAAGCCTGTTTTTCAGGTTTCAGGCTCGAAAATGACATCTGGCCCCCCTTGTTCGATTTTGACATGTGACATCTCTTTCTGACCGTTAGAGCCAATAGAATCCAAGGGAAATCGTCCCGCACACACTCATGTTAATAAAAAAAAGGTATCGTCTCTGCGCATCCTAGCTTGCAGCAGAGGGGAGAAATATCACTGCTTTCAAGCAACGGAAAAGCTGTTTTATTGCTTATGGATTATCAGAACATTTCAAAGGGGATGCAGTCACATTGGATTAACCTATGGATTAACTACAGCATCGTTTTTATCGTTTTAATGCCATTGAAGACCAGTTTAGACCAGAACAAGACGAAGGTAAGCCATGTTAGCGTTGTGGGCTACCTAGCGCCACTTGTTTTGATGTACGTTTTTGTTGATAACGTCGCCTCGATACATTAATATGCTTTAAGAAAAAACCCGACTACTGTACATCACAGCTCTCTATAGGGTTTCATTTATCTTGTTGGCAGCTCATCCCTTAAAAACAGAAGTCTAAGAGTGATCATAATAACATGAAATATGAAGGGTCTATTTCAAGCTTGTTATGTAAATAAGTTATTAGGCTTTTTTGTATCAACTGTAGAGCTGATGAAAGGGAGTCAGAGGCGGTGTGTTCAGTATGGAACTCCAGACTTTATTTCCCATTAGCATGGTACCTTCACACACTGGTCCGTGTTGCAACACACAATAATACCACAGTGAATTATGTCCCATAATGTGCCCCCACACAAGCACCCCCAGAATTTACCCATAAACAAAGTCTGTGCGGTGAGGAGGAACGACAGGCCGGCCACCACGACTCCTGAGCACAGAAGCCGGGAAAGCAACCACCATAGGGGCGGTCGCCGGAAGAGGCGGAACCTGAACAATGGGTCCCAATTCAGTGACAGGGATTAAGGCCGGGGGACGGCCCCGTCGCGGAGGCCGTGCCAGCACCACCAGCTGGTCCAAATCCAAGTGGGCAGCCTTCACCCGGTCCACCGAGACGCACTCAGCCTTACCACCCAGGTCGACCACCAGGTGTTTGTCCCCGTGTTCCAAAATCCAGAAAGGTCCATCGTAAAGAGGCCGCAGGGGTCCCCTGTGCGCGTCGTGCCGGATGAAGATGTGCCCCGCCGAGCGGAGATCCGCGAGAACCCGGGACACCTGAGTACCATGTTGAGCATTGGGAATCGGAGCAAAAGCCTCAGCGACGTCCGGCAGGCAAACCCGCTGGGCCGACGCCGACCAGGGAGCCGACGTGTTAGGGAGGAAATCCCCTGGAACCCTCAGCTGCTGACCGTAGACCATCTCAGCCGTAGAACACTGCAGATCCTCCTTAGGCAAAGTCCGCAGGTCCAGCATTACCCAAGGCAGTTTGTCGACCCAATTGCCTTCCTTCAGGCCGGCTCGGAGTGCTGCCTTCATGGAGCGATGGAAACGTTCACAGAGGCTGTTAGCCTGAGGGTGATGAAGCTTAACCCCCAAACCACTCGCCACGGCGTTCCAAAGCTCGGACGTGAACTGCGAACCCCGGTCTGAGGAAATGTCAGACGGGGTGCCAAAACGACACTCCCACGTCGCAATGAAAGCCCGGGCTATGTCAGCTGCCGATGTTGACACAAGAGGGACTGCCTCCGGCCAACGGGTCGTCCTGTCCACCATGGAAGGAGAGGAGGGGACCCACCAGGTCGATGTTGACGTGGTCAAACCTCCTCTCTGGCACCGGGAACGACTGGCCGCGGAAGGCCCGTGGAGACGTCGCACAAGAGAGTAATGCCCACGTTACCGAAAACCACGTCCTCCAAGCACAGACCCAAGCTATCCTCTTTCAGGGCCTGGATACCAGGGTCCGTGACCTGGTCCGCCGCCATGCGGGTATAGTCCAGGCCCAGCTGGACGGCCCCGATGACGACCCTGGAGAGGCAATCTGCGACCAGGTTTGATTTGCCAGCCACATACTTAATGTTTGTTGTGAACTCCGAGATGTAAGAAAGCTGCCGCTACTGATGTGCAGACCAAGGCTCCGCCACTTTTGACATGGCGAACGTGAGGGGCTTGTGGTCAACAAACGCCATAAATTCAGGGCCTTCCAGCAAAAAACGGAAGTGCCACACGGCCAGCCAGAGTCCAAGGAGCTCTGGTCAAAAGCGCTGTACCTGCGTTCCCTGGGCATCAGCTGACGGCTGAAAAAGGCGAGTGGCTGATAAGCGCCCTCCACCCACTGCTCATGCACCGCACCAACGGCATAGTCCTATGTGTCTGTGGTAATGGAGATGGGAGCCGTGGACGATGGGTGCGCCAACAGGGCCGCCTGAGCCTGCGCGGTCTTGGCGTCCTTAAAATACAACTCAGCATCCGCCGTCCAGTCGATCTCCTGGATGGGGGCCTTACCCTTCAACGCCTCATACAGCGGCCGCATAATCAATCAATCAATGTTTATTTATATAGCCCAATATCACAAATGTTACATTTGTCTCATTGGACTTTACAGTTTGTACAAACTATCAGTATGACAATACGACACCCTCTGTCCTTAGACCCTCACATCGTACAAGGAAAAACTTCCGAAGAAAACCCACAGTTTAAAGGGAAAAATGGGGGAAACCTCAGGGAGAGCAACAGAGGAGGGATCCCTCTCCCAGGACGGACAGACGTGCAATAGATGCCGTGTGTAAATTGAAAAGATAATACATTTGCAACATAGGTAGTCCAAATGTTTGGAAATGCATGTGTGTATAATAGGAAGATGAATCCACGAGGATATCCATCCAGGACCTATGATCCAGGACCACAGCCACGACTCAAGATCCAGGGCTCGCGATCCAGGACAGAGGAGCGCAGGATCATCCATGACTCCGGATCCCGGCGTATATAGACACCAAAAAGAAAGACATTTGGGGAAGCTGGGTTAATCGGAACATGAGAGTACACAGGTATAGACAGAGAGAAGGAAGAAGTAAGATGTCCCCCGACAAACTAAGCCTATATCAGCAAAACTAGGGGCTGAATCTAATCAGCCCTAACTATAAGCTTTATCAAAAAGGAAGGTCTTAAGCGCACTCTTAAAAACGGATAGGGTGTCTGCCGCCCGAACACAAACTGGAAGCTGATTCCACAAATGTGGAGCTTGATAAGAAAAGGCTCTGGCTCCCATTGTACTTTTAGAGACTCTAGGAACAACCAACAACCCTGCATTCTTGGAACGCAATGCCCTAGTAGGACAGTAGGGTATAATGAGTTCTTTAAGGTAAGATGGCGCCTGCCCATTAAGGGCTTTGTAGGCGAGAAGAAGAATTTTAAATTCTATCCTGTGTTCTATATATATATATATATAATGTGGGCTGCCCGGGCGATGAAACGGTGGTAGAAAGTCACCATCCCCAGGAACTCACGGAGTGACCGGGCTGTGTGCGGGCGAGGAAACCCCGCAACAGCCTCAACCTTCGCCGGCAGGGGTGCTGCACCGCCTTTGGATTGATTATCAACCCGTGTTGGCTGAGCCTCGTGAAAAGGGCTCGGAGGTGTGACAGGTGATCTTCCAACGAAGCGCTGGCGACGAGTATGTCGTCCAGGTAGACGAACATAAACGGCAAGTCCCGCAGCACCGAATCCATCAAGTGCTGGAACGTTTGAGCGGCATTCTTGAGCCCAAAAGGCATCTGCAGGAACTGAGGTTACCTTCTGTAACCCCAGCTTCTATGAGTAAATGGCGCAGCCCTCCAAGGCTATCGCTATTGGGTTATCCCCCTGCGCCCCCGCGCAGCACTGAAACACTTGTAGTCCACGCCCACCCGCTAGGTGGGCCCCACCCTCGGGCATCCTTCCGGTATAAATAGGAAGGGGGCCCGGCAATCTGCTTCCATACAAAATAACTTTTCTTCAGCTATTCGTAGAGCCAGTGGGGCCCAGTGCTTAGAGGGCTGCGCCATTTACTCATAGAAGCTGGGGTTACAGTAGGTAACCTCAGTTATATTTCGTATATGGCTTCGCCCTCAAAGGCTATTGCTATTGGGTTAAGGGCGAAGCATGATATAGTCTGCGCCCCACTGGGTCCGCCCGGCACTAGAAGCACAGACACACCTGCTTAATAACACCCCCCTGCCTGTTGTGCCATGCGTAATGGCGCATCACCATCCCTGGAACATAGCAAAACATGCCTGTCTTCCCGACGGGGTGAAGGCTGAGAACAATACATACCGCCCGCTGTGAGAAAGTAGAGACGAAGGTCCCACCTTGTCCTGCGATCATAGAGGGGGAACAGCAGCTCTCTGCGTATCAGACAGGTAGGGGAGCGCCCTGCTGGATCCCTGAC